AGAAATTCTGCTTCTTTAATACTCAAAAATAAAAAAAAACACCAGTTGGGAATTAGAAACAGAGAACTTAATAAATTATTTTGTTGGACCATGTTTATTATTTTCCCACGATCGTAATCTAAGGCACGAAGAAAATTAATTTGTAAAATATATCAAATGCAATCGCAAAACATGATCGATCAGTCATTTTGGTTCACTTATTCAGCTGGCCAGTCTTGGAAGTGACCACATCGAAATTGAACTGGATCTATCAGATGTAATGCGACATAATGGCACAAAAAGAGATTAGAGACATATTAATATGCCTAATTTAACGCGATGCAGAAATTGCATTTCAGAGAATACCCTGAGTTGACGAGTTGGTTAGCAAAGGAAGGGTACGTCGATCGAACTTCAAAATTTGTTGGGTATAAATGATAGCATCTTGCAACATTCGAATTTGCGAAACCATTTTCAGTCACTACAAACAGAATTCAAAATGATTGGTTTCTGCGATTAATATTGTCTTGAGTAGATCTATTAAAGATAGGATTTCCATGGCCCCACATGTTGCATTTGTTTTACATGAAATAGTCATTGCTCCTTGCCACTCCGCGAGGTACAATATCTCAAGAGGTCTTAGCTCTACAACAGTCGCAATGTTGTGGGAGGGAGGGCGGTGCCGTTGAGAAGGCAGATTCCAAGAGTCGGTTTCAACGCGTGAGCATTGCCAATTCAGCATGAATGTGTGTCTCACACGCGACACGGCGTTCATCACGTCCCAAAAGATAGTATTTTCGACGTGTGGAGCATTCACAGCCAGCGATTAATGATTGACTGTTGCTTCTCATAAATTGTGTACGCATATGCAGATTCTACCAGAATACGCAATAATAATAATAATAATAATAATAATAATAATAATAATAATAGTCAATTTTTGGTATTAAAATTTTAAAGAATTGAATATATTTTCGTTTTGTCTCCCAAAACAGGCTCCAAATTGCACTCTTTTGTTATTTACAGAGCTTACCCGCAACGAATTGTCCACTGCACTCCCCTGTTACTTATTCATGAATATACAAATGTATGGACTTGTGGACGTTATTGCTTAGTTCTGATTAATTTCATAAATATAATACATATAAGATTTGGTGACTCAATTTCCATGTAAACAATAATAATGTAAACAATATTAATTGGTATAAATAATGTAACTTCTGTAATGACTTATCTTCCTTTCTGATATTGCACTCATCATATTTTATTACTTCATAGTTATAATGATCGTCTAGGGCATGCTACTATGCTTTTAATGCTAAAATGCTTTTAATTCCTTCAATGCCCAAGAACAAAGATACCATTTTTAAATGTATCAGAATTTCAGACAACTAAAGAGGAACACACCAATGGCTAGAAACGTGTATTAGAAATATATATATATATATAAAACTGCTTTAAATTTTTGTATTATTTTAAAATTAATAACTTGACTATAGTCGCATTAACAGAAAAAATGGACACAACTAAGTGTAATATATTCAGTTGTGTCCAATTGTCATAAGTAACATAAATATGTTACGTCACACGTCAGTTATGTCACTAGTCACATATAAATAAATGAAAGTAATAATTGGTAGCGATGGCGCGCTAGGACAGCTACACTTCACACAGGAAGACAAACATTAAAAGGTTACACAAGATAACGGATATCGGCTCCTCTAACGGAAATCACATGACAATATACACAATACTTGCAGCTGGTGAACACTTCTCAAAGCACCTCCTAGGGTTTAACACTAAAGACTTCAATGAATGTAAATGTATTACCGAAACTTAAATACTGAATATGCTCATATTTTGTTACAAAATATTGAGATATATATTGGTCTTGTATTTTCATAGCGTCAAAATGAATAGCTTTCATTTTATACCAATTACAAAGTGAAAGATAATAATGTTGTGTCTTTGGCGTCAAAAAGGCGATCAAGTGTTCATGTAAAGCTCAATATTACCGAACAATTTCCGTTCTTTACATTGAAGTGCATACATTGATTTCCAATTATTCTACAGTAAGAGTTCCTCAAAAAGTAATTCTTCTTTTCAGGGTATTTACTGAATATTTTTCATTAGTGATATTTTATTTTTTATGTGATGATTTTATACCCGAGTTATATATCTAGTAATTTGGCCATTGAATCACGATCCCTGAAACGAAAAATAAATAGGATTTGTTTCTGGAGTTCCTTAACTAATGATAACGCAAAATATTCCCAATAAAGATTCGCCTCAGATAATCTAAGCGACGCTCGTGAACACGAGTCGGAAATTACCTCGGCAGTTGCTTGACAGCACGGAAGGGCAAAGCAGAGCTTGCGGTATCAACAGCCCACAACAGAAAAATCCACATTACGTCTTGAATGAAATTGGACCACACGTAACTGTACGACATGGACTAATTAAAACCGATACAGCAACTCAAATACCAGATTTTTTCCATTTGTCCTTTCATAAATAATTAGAAAGTATAACACGTGCTTAAAACAATAACACTAATCAACAACCAGTAGACGGCAAGAAAATGTTATACTTTTTAGTTCAACTCAATCCTGAACCCAAAAATTATGTAAAAATGTTCTTGTTTGTTCTTATCTCCGTATAAGGGCCGTCTGTGTGTGAGGCGGATTCATCGACTATCGCGTTCCTCTGAACTACGTATGTGTGGACGATATAAATATCTCTAAAGTTTGTTTAAATTCCTTTATCTCGCATCCCCAAGCCAACAAGGCAGTAAGCGGACAATCAACAAACCTGGGTTTCAGTATGTTACTCGCAGCGTGCAGTACAAACGCCTCTTTATTCAGAACCATGGTAAAATAACGTGTATGAACTCTTGCGTGTCTCATTCACTTTTAGTCGATAAGCTTCAGGTACCGGGCACGTCATGTTTTTAACGACAATTTTAAATACAGATAGATACGAAACAAATCATCTACACAAACAAAAATTAAAAAGGTATTTCAAATCTTGCTTCTGAAAAGTAGATTTTCTTTATCTCGCACAAAAATAATGATTCTTCTAATTTAAGTTTGTCTTTTGTTAGTAATCGACAAACGCGGATGTAATCTGAATCTCAATTTATTAAATATAACAATATATAACTCATTTTCACTCTGTGATGTAACTATAGAAATTACAGTTGCGTCGTGTTTAGTCACATCATGATTTACTACATATAAAGGCTACATATAGATGTCTAATTTAAATATGTTCCCTTCGAATATCTCCTGAAACGAGACAGTTATTGTGATCTGTTTTCCACTAAAATAAAAGGGCTCAAGGCACTTAACAGTGTATAATATTACATGCAGCATTCAAAACATAAGCTATTTTTACATTGAACCCTAGAAGTATATATTTCTTTAGCCCATGATAACGAGCGTGAAGAGCGAGTTCGTACACATGTATTTTGTACTATGTCACATAATATTTTTGAGAAATAGTTTTTACGACCACGCCGACTAATATTATTTTGCCAGTAGCACACGAAAATCCGCTACCAGGTTCGGTTGCGGTTATATTCGGTTGCGTTGACCCTGAGGGTGGAAGAGACTGCAATGCCAAAGCCGGCGAGGGGCAAACTACGAAAACGCGCAACAAGTGCTCAGAGACTACGCCTCTGCAGTCTTGCAAACATTGTATTCATTCACAGCTGTGATCTCAGCCTATCCCAACGCTTCGAGACACTATTTCTGTAATATAATATCGCGAGATTTGAGAAAAACATTTAGTTTTTAATCCTTAACGAATGAGATAAATAGTGTATAACAGTATAAGATCTGAAATGATAGATGTCCGAGGAGTAACAAACGAAATCTAGGGGTGCTACAATAACATATACTTTCTCGCATTAATATGATGTTCTACCAACCATTGTAGGACGATGTGAACTTCCATTCGGGCGCATTCGAAAGACCACAATAAATTAAGGAAATTGTATGTATTATGACTATTATAAGGTAGTAACTTCGTTGTTGATATGACTGATACTTTCATATGCTCAGTGAGTTTCTGCGTTTCCATAAGATGACCTTCTTGGCGTTTACATATTTGGGTAACATTTGTAGGAACTAAAGTTTCCATAATTTTGGCTCGATAAGCAATGGCCTCAAACAACTGACTTTGATTCTGAGAGTCGTTTCAAAGAGCATTGGGGTATCAGGGTCGAAAGGAAAAACATAGCGACTAAATGCTAGGAACTTTATGAGTTTGGGATAACATGATATTAAAAACAAATGACTATATTTCAAATTGCCTATCTTACTGTCTGTATGTACAAATAAAGTATAATAACATGATATTAAATGTTTATGGGTGGGTCTTTGGTGTATCACAATATATAATGAGGTTCTACTCTTCGATAATAATCTTATTCATATTCCAGTTCTACCAATAGGGGATCAAAAAACTGAGAAAATGTGACAAAATTTTGGGCGGCGATAGATGGCAGCTGGGAAGTGGGGGAGACAAAACCAAATAGCTAGCCCAGTTCAAAGAAATTAGAAAACCAGTACCAGAAAGTCTGAGTCATTCTGTAGCACCACTAGTTTTCTTTGTGAAGACGGGTGGCACATTAACTGCTCATCGTCATTTCAAAACTCGAGGCACATCCCACCGACAACTATCATGCAGCGAGTCAGTCCCGTACTATCCATGCAAGAAACTCCCTCAACGAAAGCTTGCGTCGACCGAGTCGAGAAGGACGGGGACATTGAGTATTCATCGAGGCAGCCGAGTTGAAGGACCGTGGAACAGTTGATGGAAGCCATTTTGGAAAAGTGACATTGGAAATATAACTATAAGATAATTTATGTTCCAAAGCGACTCTTATGAATAGAGGTAAGCACCAACCAAATTGGACATGAAAAGATTATATTGACGAGTGGACAAATTGATTAAACTTATAATTTATTACAAACAATATTCATTTCAGATTCGGTTAACTCCATTCAAGTAACTACAATCGAGTAAGCAGAGAAAATGACTGGAAAATTGTAGTGTCTGAAGTGGACTATTCTGGAATGAAGAGCCGGCAGATCGTTGCTGCATCAGAGGCATGATAAGAGACGTCATCCCGTTGTCAAAAGCTGATGTTAGAAGTAAGATATTATTTTATGTCAGGGAGCATAACTAAACGAAGCGTGGAGAGCAGAATTTTCTCGCAACGAACATATAGAACGGAGGGGGACATGCGAAGGGGGAGTTGAGGGTACTTCGGGAGCAAGGTCAAATACACGTTTCCTGCCACGGCTCGTGTAGTCAATCAGCTTAATTACGCCCGTATTCTCACTTATGGGTTACGAAAGTAATCTGTAAATCGAGGAAAACGTGGACCAGGTTAGCATTCTGATAACTCTGTATTCTTATTCACAAACTGCGGTCATCAGAGAATTGGCGGATTCGAAAATTACCCTTGACTAGAATATTACAATGATTATGATTGGCTGTAGAGTATTTTTAGTTTAGAGTTACATTAGAAAAAAATAAGCACGAAAAACAAAAATATTGGCTCTTTCTAGAGAATTTTACAAAAGTTTTCGATAAATTTGGTATTCTGTACTCTAGCTGAACGCTAAAATTGTTTCAGTAGTTTTCAGTACAATTAATAAAATAATTACACGCCAATGGATGCCAAGACTATTTTTCAAACAAAAATCAAGTCATATGTCACGGAACATTCAATTGTAAGTAGTAGCTGTAAAATTTTTACAATAAAATGTATATAATAAAATGTTATGATAAACCATGTTTATTAATAAAACAATTACAAATATAGCATAATTGTCATAAAATTCAAATATTGAAAATAATCCTTCCCAGGTGTCAGAATAATTTTGTCTTGTTCAGAAGATAGAAAATAAAATGTTAATTTTATTTTGATGCCACTACTGGAATAAATGTGAAATATACAACATTGTTTTGACATAAGAAATTCCAAAAATTTTATTCACACATTATCATGAATTTGTATTCTTAAATGTACTAATTTATAATAATGTTTTATACTTCTTTGAATCCACAGAAATATAGTTCTAGTATAATGAAAAATACACTTCTATTTCCATGTGATTTATGAATGAATGAAGCTGGAGCTGGACTGGAAACTGAAGAAGATTATTGTAACTTCAAAACTGAAAATGTTCTGTAAGCTACATTTAAAAAAAAATACAATATTATCTTATGAATTTCAAAATTCATAAATTGTTTTTGTAAATGTTGTTAATGTATATAGTCTAAACTAGATTATGATTCCAATATCAAAAATATTTCTAGAATATTCATTACATCAGGGCTGTTTTGAAGAATTGGATTTCTGAACTTAGGATTGTAAAATATTCAAGCACTCTTATAGAAGGGAAGTAATGAAAACAAAATTGTTTTGATTTCTCAACCGGGATAGTTCTATTTTCTAGTAATTTTGTTATCAATTTTTTTTAATAACTAAACCATCCATTAAAACATTTGTATAGTGTAGATTTTTTTTTAATTTATCCTTTTTTGTTTCTTTTCTTTTTCTTAATCTAATTCTACACTCTCAATCTAAATGAATTAAAACACTTAAGTTTACTGAAGAACATCTTTGGTAATCTGTACTATAATGTTGATGGATTGGTGACATATCGTTAATAATTGTAGATAAGCGAAAGCATTAGCTGTAGATAAACGAAACCAGGTTTATCATTACCAACAAACTTTCATTGGCAGTGAAATCAGTTATTTTAAAATTTCTACAATCATATTCATTTCAATTTTATTTATATTTAGAAAAAACAACCAATAAATATGTCCTTCAATATGAATATTTTATTTCCAAATTGGAAATGTCAGAGGCAGATTACCAGTAGCAGCTGCGAGAGTGACCAGAAATTATGAAAATGGTATATACTCCCAGGAATGGAAACATTACCTCAAGTATTCCACATTTTAAAGCATCACAGAATAATTTGAGTTATGGGTGCAATGTTTATCTACTTAAAAAAATACATATAGTGTTCATCATATCTTGATATTATTCAAATTTTAAGAATATTAAATTTTGTAAGCAAGTTAAATTAGTAATGGAATCAAATACCAACTATATCCTTTATTTGTTGGTTTTTAGCAATTTGAGTTGGTATTGATTCTCAAACTGGTTAGCAAAGTAATAAGTATTGATTACATTGAAACCATTTAGCAGGTTTTGCCATGTCTCTTCTTTATTGTGTTTGTAACTGAGCATTAAAGAATATTCCTGTATTTGTGCATTAAATTTGTCAAAGGTTTAATTTCTTTACAAAAAAAGGTATTATTTGAATATTGTTTATTAATAAAATAAATAAAAATATTTATTAATTGCATTCAGTTTTTATTTACTTTAAATTAACAAAATTATAAACTGAATTCTACCAAGGACTTACTTCATAGCATTTTTGTCTAAATGTTATTGTGTTCTTTCTTAACACACTTGTAATTAATTTCAATTCATTTGATAGCTGTTTATTCAAAGATATAATTTGAAATTTCCTGTCCATTTATTTGCATGATTATGTTAATGATACCCACCAACATTGATTTTGGGTATTGAATATATTTCTGATGCAAGTACTAGTGTAAAAGTCAAGAGACTTTTTAGTAGATGAAAGTAAGATAAATAGTGACAAAACTTTTAATTAAAAGCAAAAGCTAACAATATGACTTAATTAAAAAGATAAACTGTACCGATTGAAAGATAAGATCGAATTACATAATATTAATTACAATAACAGATGTACCTATTACTAGAAACAATATTACTATTCAAAATTATGCAAGAAGTAACTGACTACCCAAATCATTTATATTACTGTTGACGAAAAGGAATAGTAAATATCAAAAGAGATTTTTTATTTGTTGGTGAAGAAATTTGATTTCAATGGGAACAATGTTTTCTACTTTATTAAGATGTAAAATAATGTTTCCCTTGCTTTGTGAATTTTCTGAATTTGACGTTATTCTCGTATTACACGGTATTGAGAATACGGACGTTTGAGGAATAAGCCGGTGTTATATTATAAAACTAATAGTAGTCTTATTTCATTATCTCAAGTACAAAATATCGGCTAAGGTGGTCCGGACATCAATTGATATCATTGAAATGCCTCTGATCGGGAGGTCCTTTGGTTTGAGTCTGACAGTGGACGAGTTTAGTTGCTGTCCGGAGGAGGATTTTTGCATTCGGCTCCTCTGATCGGTAGTTGTCTGTGGTTTCCCGTATCAACACCAACGACTGTCAGAGCAGTACCCTAACAAACGGGCCAAACTTTGCTTCCTATTCCTTGCCCTAATTTCATGCCTTTCTTGCCACACAGACACTCACATACACTGCACTACCACACGTGACGGATTTGAGACACCTGTCGGGAGCTTAAAGCTTGTCCTGGCTGGGGCAGTCCCTCGCTGGGGTTAGGTACCTAGTTGGGAGAAAACCTTGCATGATACAGATATGTCTGCGTCCGGATTTCACCATCTAGATTTCGCCAAAATGCACTACACTTACGGGAATAATGATCTAAGTAGTTGACACGTCCAGAATCACTAATCAATGTTAATCACAAGTTCAAACTCTCCTGTTTATTAATTAAAGATTAATGCAAATGTGTATGAAACTAATTTACATGATTTTTTGGTAATGTGAATTATCTACAATTTACATGAATACAAACTCATATTTGAAGATTTTTTAAAATTTTCATTGAAAGAAATGTTAGGTTACGTTGTACATTAGGTCAGAAGTAGAGCTGTGTAAATTTATGTGGATTCTTTTTTGTTGTTTTTTGCATATTTTATTTCTATTAATGACTGTACTCTGTGACGAACTGGCAGAACACAATTTATTGTGCCTGTGTGGGAATATCTCAGACCATTCAATTCCAAAAAAAGAAATTCTACGTCCCTGTTACCTTTATAAATTCGAAAGGAATTTTCTAGCAACTGGCTTCATATTTAGAAATGCAAGTTGTTACCAACTATTGCCAGGGAAAGGTTTGACAAATTCTCAAAAATCAATTATTGATGACAACGCTCACCACAGTTAAATCGGCAGGTGAGGGCGATTGCAAAACAAACCATAAATATAATTCATTTTTCTACGCTTTCATTTTACTTTATTACGTCCTTTCCTCCTACGAAAAGAAAATTAAACTTTTCACGGGAAAGCAAAACTTGGGAACCAAAACTTCATGTATTTCAGTTACATGTATGTCGAGAAGTAAGACAAAGGTCCATTCGCTAAAAGGATCAAAGAAACTGGACGAAAAACATGATCGAGATGGGGCTCTTTGACGTAGAAACTGAAGTACAATACTTATCACAGGCTTATTTAGTCTCTAAAATTATACAGTCCAAATAGTAACTAGTACAATAAATAACATTATGAAAGAAATTCATTCTTGATTCTCTGTATAGTCTCCTTCTATTGTATAGAAACAGTTATGCAGCAGAAACGATTTTACTTGCTACTTAAATTTATTTCTTGGTATTTCTCCCATTCATCGCATAGTTATTTGACTAAAATAAATCATTTTTCAGTCGACTTTAATCGTTTCATGTCCCCATCCCACCCTTCAGTCCCATTCCATTTGTGACAAAAAACTGATTCGTAAATCAAGAGGCAAAGAAATGGTAGAATTCTTTTCTTAATAAAGAGAGGCTTACAAGACGCGTATGGGTAGGAATTCATACAATTCTTTTCTATAATTGCAAAGTATGGGAGCTATAGGATGAGTTTCTCCACAATATTACACCACATCTCAGGGGGAAATTATACAATTGTTTACATGAAATGGAAAAACTGCATTTGGACCGTTTTCCTCGTTTACTATTGATTTCTAAATATGAAACCAGTTTGAATCATAGAGTATTGTATTATTTACTGTTTCTTTATCACAAAGAATATTCGTATTGTAGCGACATAGGCTTAGCTTCCTGTGCCGAGAGAGAGCTTGCAAGGTAGAGGCGTGAGGGTAACAACAAATAATAGCCATCCGAACAAAGGGTGCCATACCAGACCAGGGGTCTTTAGAGGGGAGGTGGCTGGCCCCTAGGTGCCGTGCGCAAAAGAAAACAGCAGTTAGAACACGACTCGGAGAAGCGCGTGCGAGGGAGATGACGTACGAGGTCACGTGATTCGGCCCTTTTTAAGGCCGCGTCACGGAGCCTCGCGTCAGATAAAAAAATTTGGTTTCCTCGCAAGTAGTCTGCAAAAACATTGTCAGCTCAGGCTGGCGCGGAGTGCTGTATGCACGAGGTGGTGTTCCGATGTGTTCGGGCACGGTTGAGTGGTTCCTTACCGCTGCAGGGCAGATCGTGTATCTGCCGAGGCACGTCAGATGCCGAGTTGCGAGTCGGCCTAGTTGGCTAGTCGCGTGCGCAGCTGTAAGGCGCGTATAGAGAGACCTGACTTTAGATAGTTCCGGCAAACGCCTTGCAGTGAGGACCTGTAAATATTGTAATTAGTTGTGTAAAATATGTTTTATATAGTCCACTCGTGTTTGTTTCCTTGTGGTGCACATCCCTACCCATGACGTCACAGTATCATCTGTAAAGAAAACTGTTCTTTCGTTTAAAGTAGTCGAGAGCGTATTGTTTACGAACCGAAGGACGAGTATATGGGTTTTGGTAGATTAGTGATTCTGGACGCGTTAACTACTAAGATCATTATTCCCGTAAGTGAGGTGCATCTTCTCTCGCCGGCTGGCGAGAACCGGCGTCGATCTACGCCGGCTTACCGGGATTTTCCTGAACCAGGTAGGAGAGACCAGGGTTAGTTGGAACAGGGGCAAGTTGTGACGTCGTGTTTACTGACCGATCCAATAGAGCACAGCTCGCGTTAGTTTACTTGCATGTTTCAAACCCTTCTCTCTTGCGTGCTCTTTGAGTAGCTGCGGGATCCGTTGCTTGATTTGCTCATTTACGAACTGTCGGTGCAAGCTCCTGAAAATTATTTCAATTTACATTTGTACATTTAACATGCACGCTCTTATCACGTACGAACATCAGCCCATCCTTGTACAAGTCACAATTTTAATGTTGTATTCTTTGTATTTAGACATTTATTGAAGCAATAAGATTCAGCCACGCGACTGTGACTTAGGATGGCGCAGTGACCACGTCACGCCGCCCGCCGGCAGCACCGCGAACTTCAGCCCCCGCTCTTCCTCCGGCGGAGGCGCATTTCCGGAAGTGACGCGATTCACTCGATTAATATTACAGACACACTTCATCGAAAATTATATGTCAATTAATCATATGCTCACACAGATTCTTCAATTATAAATTAGCCTTGCTCATATCTCTAAACCGCAATAAATGAAAGGCGATTTCTTATTGGTGGAAATTATTCGTACCGCTGAAATATTGGCTTGCCTCGCCAACTGCATCTAACCAATTCGACAGTCGAGCAGTGGTATTCACACAGACGTGCGTTTCGCTCGCTCGTACTTGCACATTTGTAAATTGTGTTAAGTTTGCAGCACACTCTTTAAAATGAGCGTGTGTGCAACATACTCTCTATTAATATGTTGTTTTATTGATTGCAGAGCTACTTTTGATTTCAGGGACGTCTTCAGCAAGAGTTCAACTAGCTAATGACCGAGAAGACAATATTGCTGTTTTTGTTGTAGAAGATAGGTTGTCTGCACCAGCGGTTAGTTCATTGGAAATCAGACCTCTTCCTAAAGCAGAACCTCGAAGGAATAACAGTAAGAGAAGACTTTGAAATCTGCAATTTTAACTAGCACTCCTTTAAAGAAGGAATTCGATTACAGCAGCAAGGAAGGTTAAAGAAAAGTCCTGTAATAAAAAAAAGAAAAACAAAAAAGAAGCTTTCTGTCAAACATCAGAGAAAACTACCGATCAGATTAGCCGGCCGCTAGAATTCTCCTCTAGATAGTGGTTGACGGCATGCCGCCGTCGGGGCTCGAACCAAGAACCTCCCGGTTGGAAGTCAGAACTTGACATCAGTCAGTCACCTTTGCCGATGAACACTGCAAGACGATTCGGCTCTAGAAGAATGGCAAACAACTCCACCAATTGGAATAAATGTAAGTAATATTTCCTTCAAACTATGCTCTTTGCTGATACTCTTTACAGATACAACTACTTGTTGCAGAATACGAGAATGGCTTAATACATAGCGGCATAAAATCACAAAAAAAAGGAACAATATCTCCTGAAGGTGTGTTATCAAATCTAAAATGGATTTTGTAGATTCAGAACATGTAATGTGCAAAATAATTTTAAATAATAAAATTTTAGAACAAGTTTCCACTTTTAATGACAAGAAGCAGTGTAAAATCTTTAATAGAATGCGATTCATGTCAAATTATGTAGATATTAGAGAATGCGGAAAAGAAATAGGTAAACATTAAAAAATAAATATTGAAGATATACTCTACAAACACTGGACTCTACAAAACAGAAAAAAAAGAGTTTTTACAAAACACCATCAGCCCCAATATTAACCTACGGATGTGAAAATTTGACTTCACAACATCAAAAAGAAACATTCAAACTACTACAATGAAGTTTCTGCGAAGTGTTGCTAATTAGGAAAGTGGAGGTCACGGGATAAAGGGAGTCAGCAATAAATTATTGATGTAGTAAACAAACCATATTTAAAGGCAGAAACTTGTGTTTCTACCAACCATGTGTCATGATAACTATTGCCAGTTGATCGCCGCAGCCAAAGAAAGCGTACATCGACTATTATCGAGTTCGTACCAGGAAAGCGAGTGGATGATGCTTAGAAAGGACTTTTAGAAAATAAGCTCACACTCACGTGGACTTTGAGATTTCTGGAAGAATTAAAATTCGTTGGAAGGTAAATTCTTCAGAAAATAATTTTGTATCAATTTCGAGAAATTTTAAAACATTCTATAATTTTTTATGAGCAGTTATAGTAAATATATACTTGTGGGGAAATGAGTGGGTGATCAGTGATTCTCATCACCTGCAGCGTGACTGCCATGACCCCAACCAAAAAACGAACGACCAATGAAGAAGAATGATCATCAGCACAGTTGGCTAGGGCAATTAAAGCAATTAATGAAGGTGCAAGGTCCGCAGAGCTGCCCTTGCCCATTGTCCACCATTTAGCTCGCTACAGAAGTGGTCCAAACCTTTCAATGTGGATCCATCTCATATGGGATGTAAAAATACTGCTAAAATGAAACTACTGAAGAGAACAAATTCGATATTTGAGAGGGTTTTAATGTATTTTGGATTATTTTTTATGAAAACACAAGCTTAATATTTAATGTGGAGTATGACAGCACATACTTGTTCATAGAAGCAGTTGGTTTTGATTTATATTGAAAAAACAAAAAGTGACCCTCATTATCCTCGCTTCCCCTATATTTTAATAGATCATTCCAAAAATAAGGATATACGGCAAGAACTAAACATCTTTATATTCCAGAAAGAGTCTAAAATATAAAAGAAAATTGGTACTCTAATATTACAAAAGTGGACGACGAGAGACTATACAATTAATAATGTACCCGCAGGCAGAAGAGTTGGGAGACTAAGGACATGGTGACTAGATGACCCAATCATTGAAGATGTAAAAACGGAACAAGACTTCGGTCCTAATCTTTACTGTCTCAAAAGAAAAAGAAAAATATCATTAATATTGTTCTGTTGCAATGTCAATTTTCTGCGATTTTCGAAAAAAATAGTATTTATCTAAAAGGGTCCTGGTCCATATTTCTAAACCCGCTTTTCTCTACTCCCTGAGAAAAAACTAAACAAATGATTTGGAGCAGTTTTGGAGAAAAATCATTGTTCAACCCTTGGTTTGTCGCGCATGTATCTAATAGAGCCATAGCGTTTTAAGAATTCAATATCTTGCTGGCATGAAAGTTTTACAGATCTGGTGACATCCTGTATTGAGTGATATTGTACTCGGTAGCAAGGCAACCATCATGTTAGTCACGAGGTCACGTAGTTCCTCTTTTCTTCGGAGTGCAACGCGTAGAATTGCCGGTCCCCGCGCGAGTATTGGCGCCTCACAGAGACTTCTGTGCTGTGGTACGCGCTGCTCTCGCGCCTTCGCACACATGCGTCACTCATAATGGACAATATGTCGGGCTTACAATGATATATATTCATTTATTTATTTACGATAAAAAACAGTTAAAAATCGTGTGTGACGTGCTATGGGGAGAAGTTAATTTGAAGTTACATTTATGTCCAGGAGCAAAACAAGGGGCCATCTCAGCATTTGCTCGAGGATCAGGGAAACTGTACATAAGCCTGATCGAGATGGGGGTCATTGACCGGGAAGCTGAGGTACAATACTTGTTACATTTTCTTTAGAATTATACAATTCAAATGGTAAATAATACATTAAATGACATTGGTAAAATTAATACTACTTTCCTTTTGGATGCTCGGTATAGTCTCTAATTATATAGAAACAGTTGTGCAGTAGAAAATATTTTACTTGGGACTTAAACTTTTGTATCGAATTTAATCATTTAATGTCATCTGGCAATGTGTTATAAAATAATGTACATGTATTATGTGTGAATTTTCTGTAATGAGCTGTTAATACTGTCACTTGATGAATATGATTACTACGTCGAGTGTTGTAGTTATAGACACCGGCGTTTGCTGAAAATATATTCCAGCCCTTAAGTGAGTCATTTGTGACAAAAATCACTGATTCATATATTAAGAGACAAGGTAATGGTAAAATACCGAGATAAATAAAGAGAGACTTACAAGAATCACGTGAGTGGGATTTCCTTATTATTCGTAGAGTTCTGTTTTGTAATCTAAAAGTTTGGGAGCTGTAATATGTATTTCCCCAGAATATTATGCCATATCTCAGGCGGGAATGTACATTCGCAAAATATACACAACGAGCAGTGTGGAGGCTGACTGAATATGACAGAATTCTGAAAGCGTAGCATAAAGAACTTAATTTAGTGTTCAATTCATTTAAATGCATTCCCCATGTTATTCTGCTCTCAATATGAGTAAACGTTTTGATCTGTAAATTGCAGATGACGTAGGAAAGATACGAATACTTTGTTTAGAAGTCCAGTTCGAGATGAATATTTCTGTCTTATTTTCTCATCTCCAAAATATTACTACAATAAATGGGAGAGTAATTTATTTAGAAAATGGCAAATAATACTTGCATTGACTAGTGTACTTACATAAGAAACTTGGCTCTACGTTCGTTACTCTAGCAGTTGCAAAGAAGGTCTGGACAACAAATCTGGAGGATATGGAGGGTGTTCAACGCTAACTACCTGTCTTCTTCCCAAAAATTGCTGCACAAAGATGGACGTGTGAGACGGTGCATTGTTGTACAAGAGATACTAATTGACATTGTCTAGAAAATCGGACCTCACACACCGCATTCTTCGCAGGAGCCGATTGGAAACGTCTTTGTAGAGTGACCAAGTTACAGTGGACTCTTGATGAAGGAATTCTCGGTGAACGATGCCCCCAGCTATCGGAAAAGGTGATCAACATCGTTTTTGTTTTCAATTTGGCGTCATTCACGGTCTGACCTTACCAACGCTTGCACACCCTCAACAGTTTCGTCAGTTAGCCTGGAACGCGGACGCCCAGATTTCTCATCGTCTTCCGCCGATTCTCTTCCACATTTGAACCTCGAAAACCATTCAAACATCTGTGAACGGCTCATAGCATCATGGCCGGGCACAGATTTAATCTTTTCATAAATCTCGGTGGCCAATTTTCTCAATTTTGAGCAAAATTTGCTGTTTATTCGTTGCTCCATTTCTTCACAATTACATCAGCACACACATAACCTTCACACAACTGAACATTGACAAGTTGAAACTGGTCAGAACTAAATAAAACTTCAGGTGGCCATGACAGAGGGATATTGTTATGTCGTTCCATCTGCTGCGCAGAGTTAACTTGTATTATACGAGCGGCAATACTCGAGCTTGATTGAATACACTGCGTATATACAAATACAACAAACAAATTCTTGAAGTTACCATGTTCTGACCACAGCACAGTATTTGGGCACAACCTGACTTCTCCATTTCTTTCTTCATATCACTATTTAGAAGCAAGATAAATGAACACAAACATGCTTGTGGTTAAACATGGCCACGTATCTCCAACAATCCATTGGCAGGAAGGATACGAGAATATACATCAATATTTTCGTATCATCTATTCATTTGTATTTGTATGCACGCTTGATTTCTGTTTCTTAAAATGACAATAAAACTAAAAATGCTTATGTCTCAAAACAATTATTTTGCAATTACATTCTGACCAAACTCTACGGATTTGTTTTATAATGTGTTTAAAGGAATGTTTAAAGAAAATGCTGACAGCTATCCTTTATTAATAAAATTTTTATTAATTTAAAATTACCCCTTAAGTACCCATCCCAGTATGTATTTTTATACACGCTTATCAATTACCTTATATTAATTGCTAAATTTTAATTGTGGTAATGCCTTTTTAGAAATTGGTAATGTTTTCTTTCTTTTATCTTGTTTTAAGCGTACCAAAAATCACCTGGAGAGGCTTCCGCATTAACATGCGAAACGTTGCATATGTAACATTTCCGCCACGTAATCTACTTTGTAGGAAAAGAAAGTTATACAATGCTGCAAGGAAAAGTGCCGATTCTCGATAGAAAAAAGCGATTAGTAGGCCCTTGATACCGAAAAATTTTCTTAATATTTTTTTCTT